TAAGGGATGCTATTACAGTGGAAGAGATGTGTGTGTAGAGGTATGGATTAAATCTGGATTTCTCAGGACCTGGAAAATAAGCTGCTTCTTCAAGAGGCCAGGGAAGACCATACCCGCCACAGCATCTTCCAGCAGCATTACTGTTGGGATCATGCACAGAGCCACCAGCACTCAGCTCTAATCACAAATCACAGCTCAAGTTCCTGATATTGTAACATGAATCCCATAAAAACGCATGCATTTCTTTGAAATTTAAAGCTAATCTTTAAATGAGTTCTACATGCTTTCTTGGGTAAAGACCCAGATCCTGCAGACAGTCTCAGATTCCTGCTCCCACAAACAACACGTATAATCAGAAAGCCCTGATTCTGTCTGCTCAGTCTCTTTTTCCCAGCCTGTGTCCCTTTACTTGGGGTAGACAGACTCTTCAGTGCAATCACCTCCTCAGGTGAGGAGCTCAGAGCTGGAAGCTGCCTTGCAGAGGTACCTGAGAAGACCCCAGTTTGTTTTCTCTTCCTCCAGGGGCTCACAGCACTCCATACCACAAACCACTTCAAAAAGGAAAATAACTTCTCATGAATCCTCTTCCAAAGTGTTTCCCTGACTACAAAGAACTGAACTTTCCTCTAGTCTGTGACTGGTTGTGAAAACTCAAATTTCCCATGGATAAGAGAAGCAGACACATCTCCTCTTGACAAGACCATGCCTTGGCTGATGGGGGATTTCCCTCATCCAACCTCCCTGCTGAGGGCAGGTGGCCCCGGAAACTACAATCATTAACCAGCCTCTTCTCTCTTTCTTCTTTCTTCTCAGTGATTTTTATCACAGTCTCATATTTCCTTCTTCAATTTGTTTTGCCCTGAATCTTAGCAGCAGCACTTCCATTTGTGTGTGCATCTCTTGCTCTCCTTCTCCCCAGACATGATTTAAAGTAACTAAGCAACAATCCTCATTCTTTAGGTTGATCCTAAATATTGATTTTCTGTACTGCTTATAATGGAGAGGGACTCTCCAAAGCAGCTTTACAAATGCACGCTCCACTTACGTCAGTGACCTGAGAGCAGGATTGGTTCTGTTCTGTTTAAGAGCCATGAAAGCTTGAGTTGCCCACAGACTTCCCAAGGAGCAGGAAGTTTAGAAAAAGTAAAATGCACGCAAAAAGTTTTTCAAGAGTACTGTACTGGTTTGGCTGGGATAGAGTTAATTTTCTTTAATAATAGCTCCTATGGTGCTGTGTTTTGAATTTCTCACCAAACCAGCGTGGGGAACACACCCGTGTTTCAGCTGTGGCTGAGCCGGGCTTGCACAGTTCAAGGTCTCTGCTTCTCTGGCCGCCCCACCAGCGAGTGCCGGGGGGTGCACAGGGAGCTGGGAGGGGGCACAGCCGGGACAGCTGACCCCAACTGACCCCAGGGATGTCCCAGCTCAGCAAGAGAAGCTGGGGGAAGGAGGAGGAAGGTGGGGACCATCGGAGCGATGGCGTTTGTCTTCCCAAGTCACCGTCACGCGCGATGGTGCCCGGCTGTCCTGGGGAGGGCCCAACGCCCACCAGCGATGGGAAGTGGGGAGTGAATGCCCGGCTTGGCCTTGCATGTGCAGCTTTTGCTTTACCTATTCAGCTGTCTGTATCTCAACCCATGAGCTTTTGAACCCACACAGCCTTCATAAAACAACTGTTTTACATATACACGCTGTGACAGATAAATATTTATCACTGAATAGTTCTCTAGGATGACTGCCTGGCTCAGTAAGAACGGACATGCAAACAGCTCTTCCAGAAACAGCCAAAAAGAGCTGATTTCTAAAACTCTGAAGTGAACCCACAAGTCATGAGCACCTCCTGTGCAAGGTAACTAGAGAAACTGTCACTAACACAGTCTGCCCTTCAAGCAGAGCTCAAAGCTGCCATCCAGCACTGCCCTTATATTCCTAAAAGCCCGGGATATGTGTAAAAGAACACGTGTGTAAGAGGCATGAACAGACCTACGAGACGCTGTACACTACACGTGAGGAGTGAGTGGGGATTCCCGGCCAAGAGAGAACCCCAGAGTGCCCCGCTGCCGTGGGTGGGAAGCCGGAGGAGGCTGGCTGCACACCCACAGAAAGCCCCCTCTCTTTGGGACGGCCATGGGACCTGCCCTCCCCGAGTGCTGCTGAGCTGGCGTGGAGATGCTGAGGACGCACAGGACGAGCTCTGCCACGTGTGTCCTGTGAGCCTAGCAGAGCCAACCTCCAACCTCAGCCCGCAGGCTGACGCCGAGCAGAGAGGATCAGGACCGACCGCGTGCGTAGGCACCCCGGGAGCTCCGTTTCCCCTGCGGCGCATGTTTATTTGAACCCCCCAGCTCCAAGCTGTGCTGCATCGAGAGAGGAGCTCCCGGAGACGCCCGGGAGCCCGCAGCCATCTGGCCGCCGGCTGTGGCGGAGCTCTCCCAGCAGGCCACCGCACAGACAGCACATCCTGACAGCGATGTAATTACCAACCTGGCGTGCAGAGAGCTGTTCCTCCTCGCCGTTTGACCTCCCTTTCCTCCCTTCACAGAGACACGTGCCCTCCTGAAAGCTCCCCTCGGTGTGGCTGGCTGGAACCCAGCTCCACCAGCACCCTGCTTCGTCACTCAGCTAAGCAAACACTGGTGGGAGTGGGAGGCCCCAGAGCCAGAGAGGGGATGTGCCTGGGAGAAGCCCTGCACTCCTCCACCTCTGCTGGCAGCCAGCAGAAGGGACAGATTAGAGCTGAATTAAGTTACCAGCATTAAACAAACATGCCTGGCCTCTTTGAAGTTCTGCTCCCCTTGAACATGAGCTCATTTCTCTCAGCCCCAGGAAGCTGTCAGTCTCAATGGAGTTAACTCTTCAAAAGACTTCTCAGCTCCCCCAAGCACCTCACCCTGCCAGAACCCATCAGTTTAGGGCAAGACGGTCAGTCCAGCACGTGTCCTGTGTGTTGCCCCCATCTTCCTGATTTAAGGGGAATTCCCACCAGGAAAGTAAACCTGCCCGACTCCACCACGTGGTCCTACAGGTTCCAGGCTGGCACACAGGGAAGCTTTACTGGAGCTGAAGGAAAAGGGGATCCCTCTGCAGTGAACCATCCTCCAACGCTGCCAAGAGCAGCACTCTCAGGTCCTGGGAGGACTGTGCTCAGCCCTTCTCCAAGGCAGGGCTGAGAAGTAAAAGAACAAGGAAGGAATTTAATTACAGACAAGGAAAGTTCCCAGCGCTCCCTTCTTTGGGTTTAATCCCACAAAGTGGAAATTGGAAAGTCTGGGGCAGGAAAGGGAGGGGGTAGCCACAGAGAGGAAAGTAAAATACCACAAAGACAAGGCTGATCCTGACTCCATAGCATTTTTGCATGGCTCATGCAACCTCTGCTAATCCCTGCTCTTGCCACAGTACTTGAAAAGTAAAGAAAGCAGAGATCTGCCTGAGAGCAAAGGCTGCCTCTGCCTGGGAGTGGGGAGATGTGGCTTTCAGGGTTCACTATTTCTGTACATGAGCAGAAACTGCAGAGTCACTACTGACAGAGCCAGTGAGCCTGCCAAAGTAAGAGCAAATGGTTCTCAAGATGGCTCCAAGTCACCATGGTGTCACCCCCACGATGGGGCATTATTTCTGGATGCTCTGCTCTCTCACAGCTTCAGCTTCTGGCACAGGGAGGCTGAAGAGGAACAGAGCTGCCTGCGTCAGATGCCATGGGTCAGAGGTTCCCACTTCACCTGGAAAGGTGGCTTCCACCTTGCTCCTGAAACCTTCCACCCTCAGTTCACAGCCAGGAAACCTCCCACCCAACACAAACATGTCTTTAGTCACTTGTGCAGTGCCCGAGAAACGTCTTGGAGATGCTGAGCAAGCCCCTCTGACTCCAGGGCACCACTGGAGGGGTCAGCCACCGGCCAGGAGGTCCCCAGCAGCTCTGCAGAACCTGCAGGGCAGCAGCAGGCAGGACTCAAACAGCAGGAAGCGAGGGAGAGGCTGGGAACATCAAGGCCAAATGCAGAAATCCAAGATAAACAGTGAGAGTGCCTTTCAGTTCCCAACCATAAACCATCTCCACGGAGGGGAGCCCACAGCTTGGCTTGCCCACAGGCTGTGCGAGGTGACCTAAGGCAGCTCAGTCCAACGCCAGCCTTGTAGAACGCAGGGCAGAACTGGCTCACATCAAGGGACAGCAGGAAAGCCCCAGCCTGATGGGGCAGCGCAAGCTGACCCTGGATTTTCAAGAGGAACAGTCTGATCAGATAAATGCTTTCCTAAGTAATCCTTCAGCTCTGGTAGAGAGGTTGCTCTCCTGTTTCTCATTTCATTGACAGGCATGTGTCAGACTTGGCAGCCAGCAAACGCCAGAGGGATGTGCATGGGGACAATGACAGCTCCCCTGGTCCTAAACACAACTGCACAAAGACACAAGCTAGAGACACATCTGAAAATCTCAGCAGCCAAAGCTCAGATCTTTGCAAGGCAGCAAGTTCCCCAATACCATTCCTAACCAAGAATCACAGTTCTAGGAAACAAGGCAAGTACAACCTGATTCAGACCTGCTTTTTCCATGTCCACAGTAGAGATCACAGCATAAGGCAGAGCAAAGTAACTGTCAGAAGTACAAGCAGGCGCAGTTCTGCAACTTAATTGTTCTCATTATTCCCTTATATCTGCAAATGGCCCAGTACCCCTGTGAAAAAGTCCATAGGAATGCGTGTTCCAAAGACGCAGGAAAGGCTCCAAGGAAACTCCTGAAGAGGAGCAGTGTCGTACAGCATCACCAGCCCTCCAGCACCATCATCCTGCCCATCTTTACAGATGGCTGTTCCTCAGCACCTCGACGCCAGGCTATCACACTGCTCACAGGTATGATCATCTGTACCTGTACCATGCACGAAGCAGCATAAGAAAGCCAGACAGGGCACCCAGATGTCCTTGCTGCTAGCCTCTGCCTGCTTTGCTGCTCTTTGAGAGCTGAGTGGAGGAAGAAGACAGCTAAGCAACAACATGGGCCTTACCTTTTGTTCCAGGGGGCTGCAGATTATCTCCAGTCAGCGAGCACCAGCCTACGGGAAAGATGTCCCGGGAATCATATCGGCACCAGTAATCGAAGGCACCTCTCCAGCCATCAAATGTTATGAGGACCTCAGAACCTCTCACCTCCCCAATGGTGGCCGGGCAGATGAAGTGAGGGTTCTTCCTGTCCACTGCCTCCAGCTTCATACCTGTCTTGAAGAAGTTTTGGGATGGAGATGGTGGTTCCTATAAGGAGAAGTTGAAAATGTGCTCAAAGAGGATATGCCAGTGTCTCAGCAGACCAGGGCTGCCCCCTCCATCAGCAAACTCACCTCCACGAGCAGATGAAGAAGGGAGCTAGTGGGCTGGATCTGAACCCCACCTAGGTGTGCACACCTTGGCTTAGCTAAACAACCATGTGCCCTTTAAGTCAAGAGGCAACTACGTCCACTGCTGACTGCTCTGCCACCACCCGACTGCTGGACTAATCCCAGGCAGTGCTACTTCCATGCTGCACACTGTCACAGCTCCATCATGCTACACAGGCAGAAAATAACACCCCAAAGAGAAGAGCCTCTGTAGGATACTCTCACCTTGTGATCTCAGAGCAGAAAAAACTGAGATGTGACAGTCTCCCTCTATTATTTCCCCACCTTCAGCTTGGCTAGACATGTGAGAGATCCACCATCCATTCTTGTCTAGGGCTTGCTCCTCCTAGTCCTTTATACTTGGGATGCACTAAAGCCACCAACCATCCCATACCACAGCATGTGCCTCTGGACTGGCTTGTCTCTCTCTGACTTCAGGGTGTGAGAACACAAAATATGAAATCATACTTGCAGTGCTACCTCACAGCAGCATTTGCACTCCTTACAAGCTCTGGTACATTAAAGAGAGAGGTGCTGACTTTAACATATATCATTCCTGAATTTGAGCAACACCTGCAGCCCCAGCGAAAAACATGCACATCTCTCAAGCCCAAGACAGTTTTTTAGACTTCTGTCTGCACCCTGACAGCGCTGTGACACAGCCACAGAGGGCACAGGTCTGTCCTAGAGAGGCAGCACCATGGCAAAGCTGGGCAAGGTTCATCTCCTCTGGGATCAGCACATCTCACACAAGGCACCAGGTGTGATTTTGGTGCTTTGCTGTAAAGGGGACATGCCAGAAGGATGTCTTCACAAACAGTACAGTAAAATACCTTATGAAAAATCCGGACAGGAGCCATCTCTGCTCCATTCAGAGTCTTCAGAAGGAACATGGGCCAAGAGGAGGCATTCAGCCGAAAACCTAAAGAGAAGGAAGCAGAGACAGAGACTTTAAGGCTGTGGGGACCACTGGGCCTGGCAGCACAAGCCTGCCCTGATGGGAACCTTGCAGCAGGCACATACTGTGATCCCACATCACCACCCTCCTCATGCTGGAGAGTCAGCTTTGACCTTTTCCACATACTCTGAATGCATACCGTTATTGAAAAGAAACATCTGGAAATGGATGTTTGACTGCAATGTTCGCTTATCATAACAAAAGTCTGTACATCAACCATACAGGCAAAGCACTTTGTGCAGCACTAGTGCTGACAGCTTCAGTGATCCTACTACAGGGGAGACATGAATCAGCAAGTGCACACTCAGGCTATGAAATTTCTTCCTCAGTAGGGAATCTCAGCTTCTGGGTGGCCTCCTACACCTTTCAGAGTGAGCTGCAGGCAAGCTAACTGGAAGAAATAAAGAAGCTGTGACTTGGCTGCGAAAGAGACTTTACCCTTACAGAAAAGGATGGCAGGTTTTGGCTCAACACTTTCTGTGAAAAAAAGTAGAGAAATAACAGGAAGGAGCTTATGGGAAGACAAAAAAAAAATCAAATTCACATGCTCTGAGTCTATGACACTGAGTCTGACTGCACAACTGACAAAAGATTCCAGGCACCACAAAACACCGTCCTGGCTAAACGTGCATCTTTCTGTACAGGCAGTTTCTGTCACTCAGCCGAACACAGCATTGCACTTTCTGTATCTGCGGTGTTTTGAAGGTAACCCTGGGACTGGACCTAGACAGAGAGCGTCTCATGATGATTAACAGGGCAAAGCTCTGCCACGGTTGAAATGCCAGAACACAACCAGCTCAGTACAGGCCACCCTACCAGCCCCACCAACTCTGTCAGCGCAGCTTGGAAACCGAACAAGCTAGCCACAGATCTCAGGGGAGGGGAGAGCTAAGCTCCCAGAGAGGCAAAGATAACCTTCTACCTGAATTATCTATATAAAGAAGGGGAGCAGCAGCAGATGTGTACACATGGAAGAAACTACAAGCAACACAGAAAATCCTTGCTGGGTTTTCTGGACCCTTGCACCCCACAGGCAGAAAGGACAACTGCAGAACTAGCTATTTGTAACCTGTCTTTATGCTGGGTGCAAGAGAACCACTCCTGTCTGGCCCAAGGTTAAGCAGGCGATACAGATCAGAGCTGGGCACACAGACTTCTAGAGCATGAACCCTCTCCTCTGGCACAGTGAGACATGAATTCTGCTCTGCAACTCGATTATACTTATTGCCATCTGCCGGCAAAGCCCAGGCAAGACACAGGAGGAACGGATCACTGCCAGCTAGGACAGGCACCCCACGCCTCCTGGGCACGCCGCAGCACTGCTGTGAGCTGCACCTTGGGACCAAGGTTTCAAAGTGATGTCTGCAAACGGACAGCAGCATGTGTGAAAGTAACATAAAAAATGGCAGCTTTAATGTTAATAGCTGCAGCAGGTTCTGCCTGTAGCAATTATGAAAGGAAAGGGTATAATTAGAATTGCATATAGACAGCTTCGTGTGGTGTGATGTGCCAAAATGTGCACCTGCTGATGTTTCTTCCTTCTTCAGAAAGGTCAGTCCCAAGTATCCCATTGCAATTTAGACTGTTCTTCCACCAAAGCTCACAAATGGTGCTCCAGGAAAAAGCACAAATAAAAATATTCCTAACTCAAGGTATCCTCTTGAAGGTTTCTTGCATCACTATAGATTGGCTTGACATTATTTGGGGATATGCTAATTGAGAGAGATTTATGAAGACACTTCAAAAAGAATGGGCAGCAGAATGTAAAAGAAGGTTAACCTTGCTGCTTAATCAGGAAAGAACCAGCAAGTCAGCTCATCATTTGGCCAGTGGGGGGGAAAAAAAAAAAAAAAAAAAAAAAAAGTGTGTTAGTGTATTCAACTTAAGACAAGGCTGGAAGAAGTGTTTGACTGTCCAGGTTATTTATAAAGCTGCGGCCAAGTAAAATTAAATAAATAAACAAATGAAATATCAGAGGTATCCCTTCACATGAGACAGGACTTTAATCACTGGGAGCCTTTTCAGACCCTGCGTTTCCCCGTCAGATGGTCTCCAGCTAACCTGCTATTGCCCCAAAGACACTCGGGCACAAATACACTTAGACAGCATGAATGCAAATTTACATGCTTTTGAATTCACAGTGTCAGGATTAGCGATGATACAGTAGATGCCTCATCCCCAATTGGTTTCTTGGTTATTCTCTACATCAAGTTTTACAGATCCCCAGCAAAGCAACTTCATGCAGACACCAGTACTGTGCTGGGCTCAAAGGGGGAGCGGAGGAGAGAGCCCTGATGGATGGCAGCCGTTCCATGGCAAGCACACCTTGGAGATGACAGCACTTGCAAGCAGAAGCCTGAAGCAGTGGAATGACCAGAGCTATGTGCCAGCACTGTCTGTGTGACTGTGTGGTGTCTCCCAGAAAAAAATCAACTGGATTCATTCTGTCCTTATACAGGCAACCCCCCAGAAAAGGCCACCAGAGTCCTTCTGCCTTCAGCACTACGGCCCATGCCCCTGGGACACCAGGATATCAGGGTGACCCTTGATGGCCTGTGTGTCCTCTGGGAAGCAGAGTGGCTCTGGCATTCTTTCACATAAACGCATGGAAAATGTGTTGTTCCTTTGGGGTACACATGGAAAATTTCAGAAGGCTTAAGAGCACAGTCAGCATGGGCTAATCCTGAGCTTGAACTGCGGGGAGTGCAAGCAGCCCACCTAGGTGCAAAGAGCCCTTTCATCTACACTCTAAAGCAGGTCCCTATCCATGCCATGATGTCCACATGCAAATACAGACCTGGAGTGGGATGCATCTGTTTAACAGCCCAAGCTAACAGGGCTGGTCTACATCACAGTAGTAGGCAGGGTAGACAGTCCATGGGTCTCTGTCTCAAGCACAGAAATATATTCTAGAGTTTTCCCTACAGGTAACATAGGTGCTTGCTGGACACTTGAACTTCAGCTCACCCAGTGGAGGCTGCAGCATTCCTCCATTCTTCTCACAGTTTCCTATGGGCTGGATTTCAGCAGAGTCCACCAGCCGCCAGAAGTCATTCTTGTTATCGCTGCCATCGAGGCGCAGGCGGAGGCGTGCGCCTGTCAGACCCACCACCGTGGCAATGCAGGTGGAGGTTGTGTTCCTGGGGTCCTGGGCTTCTAGTTTCATACTGATCTTGAATTCATTTGCAGGTGGAGTGTATGACTGCAAAGAGAAAAACAGGGACCCAGTTATAGACAGGATTTCCAATACATGCACCACCTCAGTCAAAAAGCTTAAGCCCTAAGAGCATCAAAACTGATTCTACCCAAGACAGACAGCACCCTCCAAGCACAGCATGGGAGCAGACACCACAGAGCAGCAAAGAAAGTTCAGCAAGTCCTGGCAGATCTGCAGCCCAGACCACCGTCTTTCAGTACTGCATCATCTAGACAACTAGACCTGCCCTTTTCTCTTAGCCCCTTTCTCGGGAGAATCACCCAGCTGATCCAAGACCCAAACAGGCACTGCCCTGTGCTGCTGTCCCTCCATCCCAATCCAGGTGTACCAAGCCCATTCACTCCTGTGTCCCTGCACTCAATACATCCACCTCTGTGCTCATGTACCTGATGCTCAAGGGGCTGCTATTCCATTCCCAAAGGTCAGGTGGATTCTGCAGAAAATCTCCTTGCTGAGCAGGATCTACCAAAAGCCAGATCACAGCCTACTCAGAACATTTTCTCCATTTACTCTGCTTGGCAGAATAAAAACATTCTTGTGTTCCCATCCATGCACATCTGAGAGTAAAACCTTCTGTACTACTCTAACATCCAGAGTGTCTAAATGCACCTTTTTAATCTCTGCTTCAGAACACTTGTACTTATATTAAGCTTCCAATATCCTTAAGATTCTTCCTTGACAAAAAAGGGGCCTACCCCAGGCACAGGACTCCTGAATCACCAATGGACCATTGCCCTTGACCTTTCTTGTGTTCACCCTCTTACCTGCTTGAAGCAATGGGCAGGAGCTGGGATGGCACAGGTCTCCTTCAGGTATTTCTCCCAGGTGAAGTGACCTGAGAAGAGAAAATAGAAGGATTCAAATAAGAACCGACAAGCAAAAATCTCAGAAAGAGATGGCTGGACTCCTAACACTGGCAGTTCTCCACATCTCACAGAGGAGGTGCTCACAGGCAACACGTTTTCATCAAGATCCTCTGATGTTTGTGACCACAGAAGATTTACAACTGCAGCTGACAGGCAAAACAAAGCGCGGCGCTGCCTACGGCATCTTACTGCCTCCGCGCTGCTGAGACGGGTCTGCAAAAAGTGAGGATAACAACCTCCAACTTAATATAAAACACCAAGCACAGATGGGAATCCGAGGAGCCTTGCAGACAACCGCCTCTTAAAAATCATTCGTTAAACTCATTGCTCAGTCTGGGGATTTAGAACAGTCACTGTGGGCTAAATGCAGCCCAAATTAACAGGAAACTGCGCTGTGCTGACTTCAGAGCTCCCCTGGTCCGCAGGCACACAGCCTGCCCCACCAGCCAGCAGCTCGGAGCAGGCATCTGCCCGTCCCCAGCAATTAGTGGACAGGTCAGCAATTAATTTCCTGAAGTGGGCATAGAGTCCCCTAGCTTGGGCAGGATGGAAGCAGGGATCCTCCAAATGGGGATTTACTGAACACAGCAGTTCAGATCCAACACCAAAGCCCCTTCCACTGAGTGCTGCTGCTAGGGGAAGCGCATTTGATCCTTGTCTGCGCCTTCCGCATGTACAGCAGGAAGGGTAAAAGCAGTATGTCATGCAGGGAAACCTGTTATTAAATGAGGAATTAAAAGCTCCTGTAATCCGAGCAAATCATGACTTTTGCCATTTAAACTGAGCAGCTGGGAAAGGATCCTTCCAGCATGACATTAGCTTGTATTCATCCGAACGGCTCCCGGGAGACCGCTGTTTTCAAGTCATTTCAAGAGCATTGGTGGCAGCACAATTAAAGAGTCAGCTACCGCTTCCCCTATTCATGTCAAGTTTTTAATCAGTCTATTTTCAAAACAAAAGCTACATCAAGAGCCATTTTAGCTACTGCAGTGCACATCACACCTCTAAAAATTCAGGCATTAAGGTCAGCACACATTACTTTAGTTCTGCCTCATGTGCACAGAGAAGCCTTATGGGCTCGATAATCTACCAGCTTCAATCAAATAAAGGAAACACCGCTCTCTTGCCACCTCCCATGCAGATGACTAGCACACTGTTAAATACAGAACAAATGAACAGAAAAAATACAGTTTTGTTGCCACACTGGCTGAAATATTTCTGTTTGCAGACTGACAGCATCTCTCCACTCCTCAGAGTACGTGTTTCCACCCGTTGGCATGTATTTTCTTTTCAGCCAACAGTCTCACACCAGGGTGAATGAAGAAATTCAGTGATTTACTGCAATGATGCTTTCGCAAAACCAAAATTATTTTGCTTTAATTGAAGATACAGTTTTATACTTGGTTACGTCAATGAAACTCTTTGTACAAATAATGTGTAATAAATGCTCAGGCAAAGCAAACCCAGGCACTCCTGGCACGGAAATGCCTTACAGATCCCACCCCTTAACTCTGGTTGCTGATACGGGCTCGTCTCAGCCTGGGGTGGTCCTTCAGAAGCCCCTGTCCTTGGAGCACAGGGGATGGCTGCGGTGACAGCACCGGGGCAAGGAGTGCAAGCCTCAGCAAGCATCTTGAAAAGGATCAGCTATCCTTGACCATTTTATTTTAAAAAAGAAACCTACCCTCCCCTCAGCTTGTTTCAATCCCTCTCTATTAAAAGTAGTCACGGTTTTAATCCTTCCACTTCGCACAGACTCCACACCAAGCGAGGCCGTTCCGCTCCCTGCAGCAGCTCACGCTGCAGTCAGGATCGACGCTCCACAATCCCAGCAGGAGCAGTAAATTTCTGAGGCAGCTGCATGCCTCTAAAAATAGTGTTTGGACATGGAACTTATTTGAGATTAATTCTAGAGCCTGTTGGGACCCAACCACCATATGAAGACACACACAACACTAGAAGTGCTGCTACTTATGACGCGTGGTTCTGGTGACTTATTCTGCAAAGAAAAGCAGAAGCAGTAGAAAGACTTCTCTAAACTCTAAGAATAAAGACAGCGCCTGTATTGCAGAGTTAAGCCTTCCTTCCTTCCTTCTCTGTTCACTATCAGCCATTTCTTTATATAAAGACGGCATGACAAGCACAATTAAAGACTGCACTTCTCTTTCAGGATTACTTTCAAACCAGCACAGAAACTGCATGTTGAAATTGGAGGCTACCAGCACTGCCTCAGTGTCAGAGAAAGTTCTGCACAGAATGTAGGGAATGGTTTTAAATTAATTCAGTAACAGCACTTAGCTCACAATACAATGTTTTTCAAGTGGGAATTTCAAAATACACTTAAAACTTAACCTAAACTTCAACCTAAAAACTGCAGGAAGAATAAGAAGACAATGGCATAATACAGAAGTTGTTTTTTTTTTTTTTACAACAAAGGGATAATTGCCAATAAAATAGAAAAAAAGGAGGCACTTATAGCTTTTTTAATCAGGGAGCAGAAAACAAGCCCTGAGCTTTGTACCTGAGAAAGAGTGTGTATAGGTGAAGATGGACACATCACACTTGGCCCTCTCAAGTTTAGCTCCTCCGGACTGTACCCAATCCTGCTCGCCACACCGATCCCCGCTCAGCTCCAAAAGGATCTGCTCTGGAGCCTCCACACCCGGTGACCTGTCAGCCAGGACACCAAAGCTGTCCAGTGCTGGCTGATGACATTTTACATGCTCGCTGTTAAGGCCAGAGGGAAACATTGAGACAAGCAACATCTTGCTTGGCTTTCTCTTATTAGCACAGACCAACTATCCATTTCACAGCCTCTCAATATTCTTATTCATATTAATAAATTGTATGCCTTACTGTAGAGGGTCAGGACATTTTCATCTGCAAGACACTTGTTTCTTTTCTGGCCTGGGCAGATAACACTGGAGAATGTTTTCTGAGTGGTGGTCAGAAAACCCTGGTTGCTTTTCTCCAATTGCCAGTGAATCACTTTGCTTCATAAAAAACAGCACTTCAGACAGTCCTTGTGTCCCTTTTACTGGTGATGGAGCAGGAGTGTCCAAGGACAGAGATGACTGTAGGGACTGAAATCCTCTCTCACCTCAAAAAGCAAAGGGGAGCGCTTGCTCCACTGCTGCTGCTGGTTTCTAGTACAATATTCAAAATGTCCTACCAGCCCTAAAATCACCTTCTATTTGCGTGGCCTCTGCCTTCCCTTTCGTGTTCCCTCCCCTGCAGAGAACACCATATTCCCACAGACTGGAAAGATCACCATTTGAATGGACTTTGTTCCTCCGTATAACATACATCAGACCTTCTTTACAGGAAGAAACAAGAGAAGGACACTTAATGAGAAACACCATGTTTTTGTAATTATATCTGTGAGCTAAACAAAAGCCAAGGACTGTAAACCTATATGACTCCCTGTAACTCGGCTGTGAAAATGTCTACTAAGTGTGACTGTCTATCACTTCTGCTTGCCTTTGTAAAGCTCCTTACCATGCTCTTGTGCCAAAGGGAGATATAACTTGCAGGCAGAGTGTCAGATCTTGGGTCTGATATCTTAATCTTCAAAAATATTTACTATAAACAAAACACTCCACACACCCAAGGGGTCAAACTACAGTAGTTGTGAACAATGCAACTCTGCACCCTTGTGTTTGGATTCTCATTATGTTGCATTTAATGTTGATCTTTTGCCCAGAATTTAAATGAAGATGGAGTTTCTGTTTATATCTTTAACTGAAGTCTGGTTTGGGCTCCATTAGCATTTCAGCTCCCGAGGGGTCATCAATCCAACTGAAATGATACATGTGCGTTTCAGGTCACATCTGTGAAGGAGAACGTGCCCTACGCAGATCAAGGCATCCCATTAAAGTCTGCAGCCCATATGTGTGTCTGCTAACGAGCATCAAGGCAGCACATGAAAGCAGCACACTTTGAGCCAGCTCAGTATGAAAATTAGCAGAGTATCATCTCTGCTCGCAGATCCAAAGGTGACGGTGGCCTTCCCTGATGTCTGGGTGCAGTCTCCCGAGGGGTCAGCTCTCCCACCGCGATGGCAGAGCTCCTGTGTGTCCTACTCATTATAATTTCCAGGCAGTTTGCTCAGCCATCAATCCGGCTGCACGTTCTCCATCGGTAACAGCTACCACCGATAACATGATCCCACTTACTACTGTCTTGCTCAGAAAAAACACGTGAGCATGCGAGCCAAAACAACTAGGTTTCAAACACTGGGATGCTGTCTGCTTTGCTTCTTCTCAGAGGTGTCCCCACTCAGTATTAGCTTTGAGCAGAAATCCTTTCAGCCTGGATTGCAGAGTGCTCTGTGCCAGAAAGCTGCTGGAGTTTGAGCCCCATCACCATGTACCCCAGCTTCAGGCAGTGATGAGCTGTTCAAAGTTTCTTGCAGGGAGACGATCCCCGACCCTCGCTGCTACACCACGCACTTGTCGAGTAGCCGTGCACACCAGCCCATCCGCAGCGTTTCCTCCCTGGGCCAGCAAGCCCTGGGATGCAGCGAGGTGCAGAGGTCAGCGTGCTGGGTTACCATGAGCGCTGATGGGAAACCACACCTCTGAATTTCACAGAAAGCTCCACTTCAGTGTTGCCACCAAACAACAGCCAGTCCTCTGACATCTGCAAATGGCACAGTGCATGGAGCAGAGGAAAAACTGCAATGGAGTCCCCAGCACCGTGAAGGCTGATTATACAACAGGCCACGAGAGCTCTGATGGTGCCCTATAATGTCGTGTGGAGCTCAGCACAGGGCAATAGAGGACCCAGGACTTTACTGGAGGTGGTAATAAACTTCCTCCTCTTGGAGAAGGTCTCTCCCAAACTGTGCTGCACAGTACTTCAGCATAAGGGTAGTCAAGGACAGACAAGATGCCCCAGTAGAGAATGGCAAGGGTTCATGGTGGCCCACAGCCCAACATGCCCAAGAACTACCACCTGAGTCTCACCAGGCCCAGGATAACCAAGCCCGCAAGGCACAGCAGCCACTTCAGCTCTCCCAGTGCTCTAAGAAACACAGAAGTGCCCTTCACGAAGGTACACATGTGTCTCCCATTATAAGTTGTTTCACGTGTCTCCCATTATAAGTTGCTTAACCCAGGCAATCGTTTAGTTTCTTGTTGCTCTATACTTAGTGGGAAGTATGGACATCACCTTCTTAATATAAGTGCATGAAGAACATAAGGACATCACCTTCTTATACTCTGTAAAATACAGACCCTAAAAATCTGTCACTAAAGTATACAAGTCTTACATAAACTTCCTAAAGTTGGAAGTCATCTGCACATATCCCCTGAGAAATAGCAGGAGCTGCCAGTTTTATGAACTCAACCTGCAGGTGCCCATGCACGGGACACCCCATCTCCAAGGGGAGCGAGAAGTGACCAACTCCTGGGCTGCTACCACCAGCCCTCACACTGTGCTCGGCCGAGCCAGTGGGCATCACCTCTACTGGGGTAAGGGCCAAACTCCTGCTGCTGGGGAGGAGGAAGTGCAGGGCACACCACATCTCTCCTGCAGCAGGGAGGACTGAGCTAGCCATTGCTGTGAATGTGGAAAAAAAGCTTGTGGAGGAGTAAGAGGCTCCTTACACCTGGGACGCATGTGAAAATGTGTGCAGTCACCCCTCAGTGCTCATGGCTGGACAGTAAGAAAAAGATCTGCTCAACCCATCTGATTTAAAAATGAGCTGGCTCAGCTGTGTGCTTACCCCGGTGTCTTCTCAGCCATTTCTGACCATGGTCAGAATTAAACACATGAGGACTGTCCAAAAGCAATTTTTATCTGTAAACTAATTTGGCACGCTGCAGTTTCCCACATCCAAGACACATAAAAATCTTTTAGGGAAATTAAAAAAAAAAAAAAGGAGGGAGCAGGACAAGGGAGGTCTCTTACCTTGGTACTGGGAGGGAGACTCTGACGGGCGGCCGTACTTGTGCTTTTTACCATCTTTCCAGTCTATGGCTGAGACAAGAAATAAAGCATTTGTGTCAGTGAAAGAAGCAGCTAATGCACTCTCCAACATTACCTGCTCATGTCACTTGCTTTACAGGCACTTCAGAGAAGAGGAGTGATCTCCCTGTCATGACCCCAGGTAACAGGGATGATTTGTCTGAATCTATGGAGTGTGCTCCCTTCCTCCACACAGCTCAACAGAAGACCTGACATGAGGTATCTGCATTTGCATCTTAGTCTCTGCCTAGCCCTCACCAACCAGTCTTCTCCCACAATGACAAGCAATAATACACAAAGTAGCAGACTGTGAGAGCGTCATCATTTTAACTTCGTGAAGAGGTGGCAAGGCTCAAGAGGGGCAAACGCTAAAGCCACTAAAACCAGCTCACGTGGATCTTGTATGCTGAGAAGTGGAGCCTGAATCACTCCTTGTTTATCAACTCCAGGTTGCTGCAGTTGACCTCACACAAACAGCCTTGACCCTCTCTGGCAAGGGGGAGAGGACTTCTCCGAAAGTCTGCACAACCGCCCTTTCCATGCACAACACCAGGTTACCACCACGTGTCCCACACAGCTCCTGGGAGAGCACAGCAAAATAGCACCAGCTCTGAAGAGCATTTCAGCTGAGTTGTCTTCGCTCACAACAGCTTTGGGCCTCGGAGTTGCAACATAAATAGCTCCCAAAGCAGCTCTGAAAAGCCACAGAGCAAGAAGTGAGGGATGCCCATCCCTGCCTGTAGCAGGCTCCAGCCCAACGGAGGGATGCCAGCTCAGTGTGCCACGGCAGAGCTCACCCTGAGCGAGCTCCTGCACCCACTGCTGCCCGACCCACACACCCTGGGAGCGCTGCTGCAGCCCCGCTCCTTTATTTTACAAAGCATTTTTAGGGCTATTATGAACAATAATTTGGTAGTGCTCTATGAAACACGCCTTGCCCCCGTGAAAAGCAGTTACTTGTGAAAGAAAGAAAAAAGAAAACAGGAAAAAATTTGAAATCTCCTGACAGGTAACTGAAAGAAGCAGGCCATAAGCTGCTGCTAGAGTGGCCTGGTGGGTCTTAAGATGTCTGAAATTGCTTTTGGACCATTATTTTTACAATCTTTTCTTCCTGACATGTTCTTTTCAATACAATGGATAGGATGGCATATAGGTTTTATCCCTTAAATGAACACGAAGGCCATATGGAGTATGCCCACAGCGTCACTAGACACGGACCAGACAAAGAGCCTCCTTGGAGAGACACAAATGAAAAGGATGGAAGGACACCCTTCTTATAAATGTACTCCCATGAAGGACAGTATTCTGCTATCTCCTTAAGAAAGCAAAAATAAAGGACACAAAGTATTTAAGTCAGAAGCAAAAAAAGCCCCCCAGGGTGGGTAAGACTCCTCTCAGTGCTGCAGGATAGCACTCTAATAGCATCCGTGCACTCAAAGTAGCCTCTTGCCATACTCTGCAGGTGAAGTTACATTTTATTTTTAACCTTTAACATGCAAAAATCCTCATTAAGCAGGCTGAAAAGGCAGCAGAGAGGGAAAGAAACACAAGAATTTCTGCAGGCAAATAAAGAAAAAGGGAAAGTTCAATGCATTATTAAAAAAGCAGGTAAGTAGGACAGAAGCCCACGTGTGCAGGATGCAGGTGTTGCTTCTGCAACCTACGGCACGACATTCACAGCACAGGTCACACAGGCACGCTGGCTGGAGGCACCCTGCTCCACAAGGCAGAGAGCACAAGCTGTGTGCGAGGCTAAATTCAGTCAGCCCTGTCCATGGCCACACTGCTGACTAATCAACCTGCCTCTTTTATTACCAAGCCCTCCAGCAGCCTCACAGCAGGCTCTCCCCATTCCCTGCTTTCCTTCATTTATTTTCACTTCATTAAAGGACATGTAGTGTTAGGAAGAGGATAATGCTTCTGTAAGATGAACCACCAGAGAAGCAAAGGAGACGTTTAAAAAAAATAAAGGGAGGAGAGAAATCGAGCATAGAAATCTCCTGCAATAAACCTTGTGAGCGTGTAGCAGATGTGAACAAAGAACTGCAGAGGATGCTTCATCCTCTACGCTCTCCCTTCCCCCATCCTCCAAAGCACATGTGATGAGATCACTCCAGTCGAACACACATGCATGGCATAACACTAAAGGAAATCAATATTTTGTTAAGCACAAGAAGTCTGAGCAGCTCAGCTGCGGGCAGCCTGTTTGACTTCACCCTTTCTGCTGGGGCAAGCAGGACACAGGTAGCATGCACGTAGCTGCCACTGTGTGTAACGGGACGAGACACTCAGGCGGCGAAAGGTAAGTGTCCGTAACAGATTTCATCTCCACAAGGTAGGCTGGTCTTTGGTTTCACGCCTCATTAGAAGGGGGAGGCTTGTGCCAGCGGAGAAGCAGTTTGCCTCACGCTGGGGGAACGAGCAGATGGTGCGTGCCGCGGGCTCTGCGGAGCACCCTCACTGCCTGACACTGTGCCCCACAAGCTGCAGGGGTGCACCCGGCAAGGGACTCGTCCTCCTCCTGTCTTGGGGGTGGATCAGTGAAGTGTTCTCTGCACGCTGCTGGACAAACAAGCGGCTCTTTGGAGCCTGCAACCGCACATCCCCCCGCTCTCCCATCCCATCGCCAGCCTCCTGATGCCCTTGGCCTTTTGGTCCACACCAGCTCACTACCGGGCCTTTGGCTGTGTCAAGCATCACTGCTCACCTTTTTGAGGGCCTGGTTTCCGCATTATATCACCTGCTGCTGTCCTTATCCTGGGACTGGCTTGCTTTTAGATAACTGAAGATGTCTAGGACAAAAGAAATAAACATGAGAAAATTCCCCATTCTGGAGCACACAGTCATCTGCAACAGTAACTAATCACACAGCAGGAGAAAATAGATGCTCTTTCACCCTGGGTTGCACAGAACATCTCCTACTGAACACAGACAATTCATTTCAACCCCCCTGAAACTACAAGTCTTTCTCCAATATGTGGACAACTTCAAATTTATGGCAGCAGGAGCAGCATAAATAAGGGAGAGGAGCATATGCCAGTCTCTGTGCTAACTCTGCAGCGGGTCCCGCGCGTGTGTGGAAGCGGGGGCTGCTCTTGCTCACTAACAAAGGGAGGCAGAGCTGAAATTTATGAAAGAAAACACATGGAAACATAACATTAACTCTGGCAAAGCAGTACCGCAATCCCCAGCTCGCCACTTGCAATTCAAATTGCTTGCAGCAGTTCTGGGTAATAAGGATGAGAAATTGGACAATGACCCAGGAAATATTTTTGCTATTAGTACTGCAACGAGCATCCAAGTTGCGCTGCCTTTTTTTTTTTTTTTTTTTTTTTTTTTTTTTTTTCCTCCTGGTTGAAGGAAAACTGGCTGGACTGTCCCCAAAAAGAAAAAGCGTTTGCATTCTTGTTATAAGCAAATGTTACTGAAAATCAGAGCTCTTGGGAGATGCGTGCTGGACACACACACACACACACACAGACACCAACGCTCCTGCACAGCCAGGCTCACAGGGCAGTGTCTACTGCATGCACCCAGCCTTGCCAAGCCCTGACAGACAGTATCTAGATGAATGGCTGGGCTGCAAACAAGCCCTTAGGAAAGCAGGTAAAAGCATTTTTTGACACTACACTAACTAATGAAAGATTAATTGTGTCAATATAACTCCATTTTGTTCACAGTGGGGCAGTCAGGCTGGAGGACGTAAGAGGAAGCTGTCTCAGGACTCAACGCTGAGTTTCTGCTTAAAGGGTTATTTACAGATCCAACTTGGCGACAAGTTTTGATTTTGAACACCAGCCTTTTTCCAAACCTAAGAGAAATAGAGTTTAATTTTCTGTCAGAGGACTACAAACTACAGCTTTTATGCGCAATGCTTGTAACACTGAGCAATACTCTGAGACGGCAAATACTAAAGAAATATTAAACATTAAGGGGAAAAAAAAATACCCCTAGTTGTTTTGAGTCCAAATCAAAAGGTACACAGTACTCTCTTACTGCCTCTCTCATAAATAGTGTGTTTGTTTGTGCATACATGTGAAAGGAGTAAAGTTTCTTTTCCTTTCAATAGCAGAAGGTAATCTACATGTGAAAGCTTATTTACCACTTTTAATGCTTCTTTTCATAATTTTCTTCAGCTTTTTATTAAAAGCGAGCAGTCATGGTAGGAAAAGTCCCCAGCCATAAAACCCAGGGTGAAAGATGTTACATAAAGGCACCAGACAAGCATTCACCATCTCTGGCTCTGAACCTCTGCTGTTTGCCCGGCTCCCCTGGACGTGGGACTTCCTGAAGTACCTAAACACTAATCATAAATCTCACGTGTCTGGCATGGTCCTCCTGTGCCACTCAGACAGCTTCAGCTTGACCACTTCAAAGCCCTAGAGCCAGCAGGGATGTGTAAACCTTCCCTGCAGAAGTATTTAGAGGAAGAATATGTGTCCAGGTATGAGATGCTCAGATACAATTTGTGGACAGCTGAGGCCCAGGAGGAGAGGTGAAAGTACTGCACCCTCTGTCATCATGCAGATAGCAGTGGGAGTAACCCTAACTGCTTGTAAAGCACACAGGGCTGCTGGCGGCCCTCACCCACCACTGCAGTGGACTCCAACAAGATCTGATGTTGTGGAAAAGAGTAAGACATTGTAAATGTTGCTCCTATTAAAAAAAATGAAAAGGTTACTCTTCCCCAGAGGAGAAGTCTTAGGCTGCACAGGCATTCCCACTCTGCTGAGAGCCACGTAGGTGCCAGCCTGGGGACAGCACGCTCCAAAACATGCTTCCAAGAAACTGTCCAAATGAGCTGGCCCCAGTGTGACTCCTGCCACCCTTCAATGCCCTGCACTGCAGCTTTGCACTACCCAGCTCCCCTGTACACTCTCACACCACAGGACAGCAACACGTGGTTTCATCCTGCAAATTTGTAACACAAAAATGAAAAAAAGAAAGCAAAATAAATAGCGTGCCTCGGGGCCACTTAATGCCCAAAGAAGATAAATGCTAGAGCCAAACTCCACAATGCCTGGCTTCAGCCTCCCTGTCCCAGCAGCAGCTTGCCCTGAGCAGCCAGATGTGAGCCATCAGCCTCACTACATCCCAGGGACAGGGACTAGTCCCTGTCTGCTCTTCTATAGCCACGGATCCACGGCCCATGTGCCTCAGCCCTCCTGAAACTGGTATAAGGTGGGCTTGGGAACTGGTAACTCCCACTGGCTGTAATTTCATTCTATAGTTGCCCAGAGAAGCTGTAAAATCTCCATCCTTGGAGATACTCCAAGCATCACCAGCTGTCACCCTGAGCAGCCTGATCTAACCTTGAAGTTGAGTCTGGCTTCAAAGCCAGCCCAGCTCTGCGTGTGGGCTGGACCAGACAAGCTCCAGAAGTTCCTTCCAATCTGAAATACCCTATAATTTTATTTCACTGACAACTGGTTTGAAGGCAAGCGGAATCACCCCATAGGCTTAAGCAAGCCTGAAACATCCCAGTGAAGAAGACAGACTTCAGTCTAGAGAGAAGAAAGTGAATGGCAGGACAGGGAGAGACACAGTATGAATGTATGTGGTCTTTACACCATTCAGGGACTGAAGACTAAAAAAGTCTTAAAGTAATAAATAGCAGAAGCTACAGTTTGGTATCCAAAGGGGAAAAATGGGCTATCCACACAGACAGATCTTCCTGAATGACCTTAGGTGCCCCTGATGAGAACCTGTCGGCTGGGTCAATAACGTGAAGGGGACAATCTTCCTTTTGCATCAAATGAAGCATTTGAGATTTGCACAGCCCAGAACATGCTGGGATATGCCATCTCCTGAACCTGACACTTGTACAAAGTGCACACCAGAGCTAAGCTTTCAAAAGCACTATTTCTCATGCGTGTGGATATCAAGATAATCTTGCAAGCATGGACCACAGTTTTACGTGGTGTTGGTTTCCAGAATTTATAACCTGAAAGGGCAGATCAATGTGCAAATTCACTTCAGCAGGATGCTACCTTAAAATCTAAAATGGCCACTGGATTTGCTGACTTTTGTAGCAGATAAAGTGCCTTTCCCATAGTTTCAAACAACTTCCACTCACCGAGATATCAAAAGTGCCAACGGCTCCACTGAACTGTCATGGGCTCTAGTTCCCCATCATTCCTACAAGACAGCAAAGTCAGTACAAATACTGCAGCATATCAAAACCTGAAAGCATAGAAACAAAATGAAAAAGTTTGCATTTAATTGCAGAAAGGCTAGGTTACCAGTTGCATTATTCATGTTCATATTTAATTCATTTAAAACATCCAAATTTAAATTTAAAGACGGCTGCAACAAACATTCCCACTTGCCATAGCAAAGCAGTGCAGAGCTTGACACAATTTAAGTTCAGCTTGCAATGATTACATGGGACTGCAGCTGTTAAACACCTTTGATAGGAGTAAGATCACATCAGCTGAGTTGACACAAACTAGTTCAGCTTTTGTAAAATGAAACTATCACACAAAGAAGGATTTAAAAGACTAGACCTGATTAGTAATAAAAAGGAGAGAGACCACAGGAGAGGCATATAAAATAGTGAATAACATAAAGGGAATGAACTGGGGATTCCAAATTATCCCTTCCACCGTGTAACAGGGCAAACCTATAATACTAAAAAAAGGCAAGTATATACCAGAGAGAAGGAAATTTTGTTTATTGGAAACTAACAGACATGCAACTTCCTCATGGAGGATGTTATCAAGACAAGTAAAAAAGTAACATTAAAAAAGGACAAAGACATTCAAAAGCAAAACAGTGTTTATAACTGTATCCAAGTATGAAATGCACATGCCATTGGCTCTCACAGCTCGGGCAAAAGCTGACCAAAAGGTGGGGTGACCAGCCGAACCCTGCCCACCACATCACCGGGTTAGTTACTGCATTTTAGCAAGGAAAAGCCAAGCACTCGCCCTCCTGCCAGGCTGCCAGCACTGGGTCATGGCTGGAGGCAGGACATCAGCTTGAGATGCAGTTTTGTTAGTGCCTCAGTGACCCCCTGCATTGGTTTACACTGAAATTTACACCTCAGATGTATTTTCCTTTTACTTATTCAAAAAATAAAGGCAGCACAGGGGCAGCCAGGGCTGGGAGGAGCATCCTAGGGCACCCCCAGCTCATAGTGCTGCTCTCCCCGGCAGCCACACCACACCCCCCCAGCACAAACATCACCAAAATGCATCTTAATCTAATTAAATTCTCCCCCCCACTGCTCTCATCAACAGGCTCTTCCAAAAACTCATCCTTATCATCCCTGAGGGAAGAATGATTCAATTTACCTGTGCCAGATTGGAAGGGACCTTCAGGGTTATAGGGTAGCCTGCTCTGCAATATTCTTCCACTAAATGTTGCAACTGCAATGTCAGTAAAACAAAAAGTGAGAAAATGTGGGTGGAAGATACTGTCACATCTATACAGACTTCATAAGATGCATGTAATCTCTTTATCTACAAAGCCTCCGCTTCTTCAGAGTGCATAATTATGAAAAGAGTTAAAGCTGAGGTTCTTAATGTCTCTTCTAGCAATTCTTTATTCCACTAAAGGCACCACTTGCATCTGAATTATTTCCTGGGGTTGTTTGGACTTCCTATTATATGAGGAAGATTATGGTGAACCTTGGGATGGAGGCCAAGTCAGTTCACAGCGCTACCATGTTTGATTGAAAGGGTAAGTGAAGTTTTGTTGACAGCGTGCCAAGCTTCAAACCTCTTCGGACAATGCGGTTGCCAGCAGGCAAGATGTTTTCAGAAAGAAGAGGGAGAAAACTACCAACAGCGAAGCTGAAAAATGGTTTTATTAGGTCGGATACATACCCCACAGATTAGGACTGTGAAAAAAAAACCCAACCAACTGCATATTGCCAGAGGACTGTGAGAATGACGCTTCTTGGAAATCCCGTGGGACAGTGACAAGAGAATGATGGTTTCTCATAATGCAAAATGCCTGCAGTCACTGATTTTTTTTTTTCCCCCCAGAAAAGCATGGGTCTTGAGCACCATGACCAGGCCAGCTATTAAAAATCCCTTCCACATAACCTCTGCTTCAACTGAGTATTCCTTCACAGGTATCTTTCCATCAAACACTATCAATGTTTCCAATAATGAAGAGTTATTCCTTACAAATTCCTGCAGCAGATGTGAGGGCAGCATTCTAAGTTCCTGCTGGCCAGGGGTGATGGTGGTGCTGCCATCCCAGCCTCCCACTGGAGGCTCAGGCTGCACCGGGTCCTGCTTCAGCACCGTTCTGGAAGCCCATACACATGCACCACGGGTTACACAGGAGCATCCAGCTGCATCCTGACCCAGTCACAAAACCAGGCACAGAGACATGATGGGCAGATGTACATAACCACTTCAGCCTGCTCATTTAACATCTTTTTTTTTTTTTCCATTTTAAATATCTATGGTGGACAAAGAAAGGCACTTTCAGCCTACCTGAGAAATCAGAGGACTGCTCGCACATGGTTTGAAACACTTCTTACCTCTTCTGGTTTTCGCACCTGACTTAGCTCCTCAGATTTCTGCCTGACCTGCAGACTCTGTAACTTTTGCTGGTCTAAAATCATGATATTTTTTCCCCCTCAAAATGTACTCTGGTGAGCCAGCTAACTGACCCCTCTTCTGGGTAGAAGCCAATGACCAGCAGACAGCTCCCAGCACCACCCTGAACACCAACTTCCTCAGAGCCAGCCACAACCAACAAGGAGCACTAAAATGAAATGACAAACACAGGCTGACATAGGATCTGAAGGAAACTCTCAAGAGCAAGTACCTGCAAAGCCTAAAGAGATCAGTCAGAATTTATCTTGACCAACAGGTTTATTTCCTTCCACCTCCCTGTTATCGTCCTCCTGGGCAAGACTGGAGTTTTACTTCTCCTTGTCTGTGCAAAGATGTGTTTTGGCAGCTCTGAACAAAAGTTGATGAAGCTACAGCACCTCTGAAAGCACCTCCCCTCCTTACGAGGGTCCTTATGCTCATACCAGGAAATTTTTTTAAGAAACACTGTAACAATGAATGTTGGTATTTCCATCTGGAGTACTGATCCCCTTGTGTGATCTAAAATATCTGATGGCTGCAAACCATTACTCCTCTTTCTACCAGAGGGATTTTGTGTAATTTCCAACATCTCTCTCTCTCTGGAACTAATTTTATCTTTCTACCATGTAAGAAGTGGACTGATAAACTCCAGACTTCATGACTGGCTCCTCAGAAACACATTCTTGTGAAAGATGTTAAGACACTGAGGTGTCTCAAAGATGTGATCATGAGCAACACACTTCCTTAGCCAAGTCTCAAGGGAGAACATATTTTAAGAGAGACAAAACCATGTAAAAACCTTGGATAGACTCATGTCTTTACAACAAAAATATCGACTTTATGACTTCCTTTTGAACACCTTCAGGTTGAAGGGGAGAGGAAATGAGCCAACCTCCTAGCAAATGACAGCTGGATCATCAGACACCGCTGAGTTGAGCTCAAGGGAAAGCCAACAGCTCAGGATGAGGGTGAAAACCAGGGACCACTGGAAGAAATCACTCACCAGTGCAAGGGAGGCTGCAGCAGTTACCACCTCTCATGACTGTGGAGGAAATGAAACAAAACTCTGCAGCATTCCAATAAAGGTTTCCTTCTCTCTCAGAAAAAAACAACCCAGCATGGGCCTTGGCTCAAAATAGAAACATCTTGCCATGTATCACTGTGAGCAGACCTTGCTCTCCATAAAGACTCAAGAGGTTGCAATAAAAAGTACGTTTGGCATGCTCCAGGAACAGGATACCCAGGCTGAGAGAAACGGAGAGAGGAAAGGGCATTAAAACAAAAAAAAAAAAAGCCACATGAGAGAGTCTGGTTTGAGTCTTCTAAGAGGAAGCCCCTTAACATGTTGAATTGTCTCAGTACAGACTTTTCTACTGATAAACTGGGAGTTAAAGCCAGCTTGCTCCATATCTGCCATTTCTGTAGCGATGGGAATGAGCACTCTAGCTCTTTAGAAAGGTGAGGGTTGTCTGTTGTAAGGAATTCATACATTGTCAAAAAATCAGAACAGCTTTTCTTTAAGACCAATGTTGCTTTGCTTCATAAAAATATCCACACAAATAGAAAGAAAACACTGCAAACCTAAAGCCTCCCCATGCAGGGTAACATAGAATGGTTTGGGTTAGAAAGGTCCTTAAAGATCATGTAGTAGCGAGCTCCCAGCCACAGGCAGGGATAAACATCTAGCAGAGGATCCCGTGTTGCTCCTCCCCAAGGCAGTACTGCACTCAAGGCTTGGAGCAAAGACCTGGGCTGCCCCCCATTGCCAGGGAATGGCCCACCTCAGAGACTGGCTGATGTATCATAGGCTTAGGCTAATCATACAAAAACAATCCCTGTCACTACAGTTGGGGTTAAGGAAGCTTCATTATGCTCTAGAATTACTTCAGCGGATCCCATCATCACTGGTCTTGCTGCTGAACTGACTTTCAGGTTTTGCACTGCTGTTGTTTCCCCTTGGGTGAGCAATGGCCATGTACCACATCCCAATGGGAATGAAACCACCACAGCTCACCATAAATATTCTGAAGGAGCTTTGGGAAAAGCAGCAGGTCTCTGTTTCTGGGCATTAAGCAGAGACATTTCTGACCCCTACTATCACCATACCTCCAGTGGAGCTCTCCCAGATGCACTGTAACTGAAACCAACACATATGGCTGGCTTTTTGGGAAGGTGAAGCACCTTTTACATGTAAAAAACTGAGGGACTGATAGACTTACCAAGTGCTGTATGGGAAGAACATGCCAAAGCAATGAATTGAATCTGTGTGCCCTAGGTTGATGTTTCTGCCACTGAACCATCTGCCCTGTAACTATTCAGTGTTGGCAGGACTCACGCAAAGGAATGGCTTGGGCTACAGCAGTGGAAGCTATCTAGAGTGGCCTGGCAGTGTACCCAATGCCCAATGCACAGAGGTCACCTTGATGTAGAGGAGAAAATTTATCATACATGCGTAGTCCTGACCTCAGCATACTCTGACCATACCCTGACACCCTGGTGGCTGGGGGCCAGGCCACAGGCCAGTTTTGCACATAGCCAGGTTTCCTTTCAGAAAGAGCACAGAGATATGGTGCACCCCAACACACCTCTGAGCTGGGCCATGCGTCCCCCACCACCCGAGGACAAGCACACACTGAGAGCAGGGTGCAACGCAAAGCACCGTCTCCTGTGAGGGTGCACCCAGCCTGTGGAGGCTCAACAGGAAAGCCAAACTAATGCAGGCAGTAAAGAAAATTTTGCAGCAACATGGCTATTTTAATCTGTACTGAACCACATGCCAAATCCAAAAGCAGATGGCTTACAGAAGACCTTGAAACGGGATTCTGACCATGAGTGTTACAAAGTCACCCCATACAAAAGCACACAATAGGATGTTTCAAAGTCTTTTAAATCTTTAGTCTTAAATAAGAATTTAAACAGGAGTACATAAAAATAAAAAGTGCATGGTTTCCATATCATCACCAGGCTGTAACAGAGGCACAACCTTCTCTCCCAGCTACATGACAGGCTAATACAGCACCCCCCTCCCACAGTAAATCATGACTGCTTTTCCAACCAGCAGTTACACACACGATGTATGTGGCCACGGAAAGTGCCCCAACATGTAAACTCTTCATAGGTCTCTGTTCAACACCCAGTTCATATATTCTACAAAAACCCCCTCTGTTTAATCAACCTTATACTTATTCCCTGCTGGACTGTATCTTATTAAAAACTAAGTTCTTTCTGGGACGGGAGATATGGGAAGGAAGTATCAGGTGGATAAATATAGACATGATTTTTAATGCTAATAGATGAAATGAATGTAGTTTAAGTCCAGGAAGACAAGATATACCCATGTCCCTAGCAAGGGGAAAACGGGAGGTAACCCAGAAAGAAAGGTCTGACTTCCAGTTGTGTCTCTATTGGAAATGTCACGGCAGACCGTGCAACAATGCTGCAAGCTGGATGTCAGAATTCCTGAAAGAAGACTTTGCATTAACTGTTTCTAGTAACATAAATTTGATAAAGTTTCAGCATAACATTCTCAGGAGAACACAAGCAGGAGAAAGCAGCTTGAGGGGGAATAAATAAACCAAAGGGATGATAATTAAGGGACACAACAGAAATGTAAATGAGGAAAGCCTAGAAAAGAGAGGGGAAGGAGATGACCCGATCCTTTACATTACCCTGTATCTTGCAAGCACTCCAGCAGGAGGGAGGAGGATGCTCCCCAGTGAGAGACACACAGGGCAAGGTGTTTCCACTGAAATGGCAAGAAAGGGAGATGAGAGCTCAGGGAGCAGACAAGAGCAAACCAGCCCTGAAGAAA